CTGGAAGCCCTGATCTACAACAAATTGGGGGCTGAAGGAAAACACACACTCACACACTTGTCCATCTTGGAAGGCATTTTTGCCATTCCCGCTCTGCTATGAGAACTTCATTCCTCTCTCAAGATTGTTGGAATGGAAGAAGCAGCTCGGGGAATCAACACTTAAAAAGCCACCTTTGGGAAGATTTTCCCTGAAATGTTCCCATAGATGGAAAATTCCCTTTGTGTGTATGATGTCTCTGTGTTAGCGTTGACACCTGGGTGATACACACACACACACAAACAAGCTGGCTTTGTGCCTAAGGCAGGACTAGAATTCATATATAATCTGTTTCTATCCTTGTGTCTTAACCAAACTGGCCAGTTATCCAGAATTCTTCTCCAGCTTATGTGAGAATGTTTGGATAATAGCAATAATAGCAATTATACTTATATACTGCTTCACAGTATTTTACAGCCCTTTCTAAGCAGTTTACAGAGTCAGCATTTTGCCCCCAACAATCTGGGTCCTCATTTTACCGACCTTGGAAGGATGGAAGGCTGAGTCAACACTTCAGAATCACTCTTTAAAAAATGGCATCTGAAACATTTATTTACTAACTAGAGGTACTTCAGGTTTCACCTCTGTTGTATTGAAGTATTTATGTCCCAATCTGTTCCCTTTTGAAAATATAATGGCAAGATACAGGTACTCCTTGACTTACAACAGTTCATTTAGTAACTGTTCAAGGTTACAATGGCATTGAAAAATGACTTATGGACATTTTTCACACGTGAAAAAGGAGTCCTTCAGGATTGGGCGGCATATAAATGTGGTTAATAAAAAAAATATGACTGTTGAAGAGTTCCTAGGTTATGAGATCAAAATTCGGACACTTGGCAACTGGCTCATGATGGTTGCTGTGTCCTGGGGTCAAGTGACTCCCCTTTGGCAACTTTCTGGCAAGCAAAATCAATGTGGAAGCCAAATTCACTTAACAACTGTGCCACTAACTTAACAACTGTAGTGATTCACTTAACAACTGGACAATAAGATTGTAAAATGGGGCAAAATTCATTTAACAAATGTTTTACTTAACAACAGAAATTTGGGCTCAATTATGGTCATTGGTTGAGGACTACCTGTATGCCTTATTCACAGATATAAGTGCCATTGCTTCAATCCCTTCAAGACATTTTCTGTCAGAGATAAACGTGATATGATCCCCAGAAATATGTATCCTTACTTTTTTTCATTTAACTAATCAGATATGCGGCTTGAAACTGATTCATTGGCTACATTTAATTCCCCCTATCCTCCTTAACCTTTTTCTTCTGTTTAGCATGCTGGGAAATTCTAATGTTTTAATGTTGGAAAGTTGGGAATACAGGCAAGCAGTTCTGAGCATGTTTCTCTGCCTAAAAGCTTTGTATTATGTGTGATATTTTTTTCTTAATTAGGGTACTGCTGGCTTTGAAATACAGAAGCAAAGCTGTACTTGGCTTATGGTGACCCACCAATTATGTAGTACAAAAGACGTGGTAAGGGTCAATGCATTGTTTATTACACAAGTTTTCAAATTAGTATTTCTGCATGCTAACAATATTGTAAGAATCTCCAAGCTTCTCTAATTATAGTTACATAACAAAATAAGTAAGGAAAGGAGTCTGCTCTTCCATAACATTGTCTTACATTTGTGGCTGATGCTGGTCTTTATTGATCATAGTAAATAGAATTATTGTATTTTTTATAGAGTGGCAGGAGTCATTCAATAGATGATAGACATGACTGGCTTTCTGATGCTTTTTCCTTCGTAGATTTTTAACTCACATCTTAAATCTAAGGGTATCTAAGAAGCTGACTATATCAGCCGATCAAATCCTCTTAATAATTTTAAACATTTTGGTGATGATTTCTAGAAATACGGACAGACTGGTTTTAAAGCCCTAATAAGATTTTTTCCCCTGTAAATAAAAATTGCAGGCTTCTGAAAGAAAGGGACTATGTGAGGGCAGAAGTACATGTGAAAAGGAATTTGGTGTCTTTATGGATCACAAGTTGAATAAAAATTAACAGCTGCAGAAAATTCAAATGTTGTCTTAGACTTCACCAACAAACTGTAATATGATTAAAAGAAATAGTCCAGTTCACCAATCCTTTTTCTATTTTCCTTTCCTTTCTTCGTTTTCCTTCTTTCATATTCACTATATATTTTTCTTTGAATGTACTACTTGTTATGTTTGTGAAATCTTTTAATAAAAACATTTTTAAAAAGTTTGATGAACTGGACTACATCCAGAGAAAAATAACAAAGATTATCAGAGTCCTGGAGGGAAAATGTACAAGGAACAGAGAAGGTGTTAGGTGGTTTAGCTTGGAGAAGACAAGATAGAGGGGCAACATAATAGATAATTTTCAAAATCTTAAGGGCTGAAATACAGAAGATGAGACAGAATTCTTCAAAATGGCTCCAGAATATTGTTTATACTACAGAGAATCTGGTTAAAGCTAAGGGGGAAAAAATAACTTCACTTCAAGACCTGGAAAACGCCTACCTTTGGAGGTGATGATCTCAGGGATGCCATAGAAGTGGGTTCCAGCCCTTATTAAGGGGCTTAGACTAGATGATCTCCAAACTGCCCTCCAATCTAACATTCTAGGACAGTGGATGGTGAACCTTTTTGGCATCGAGTTCCAAAAAGGGAGTGCAGCCACACGCTTGTCTGGGACGCAACCCGGAAGAGGATCTGCCAAGGGGGCATGTCCTCGCCGGAAAATGTACTTCCGGTTTCTGGCGGGCACATGAATGCCAATGAGCTGGACTTCTGGTTACATGTACACATAACGATCAGTTGGCCGCCGCGCATGCTCACGCTGGAAAATGGAAGACCAGTTCTTCCAGTTTCTAGCACTGCCGCACGGACAAAAGCCAGCTGATCATCACATGCGCACCAGAAACCCAGAAGAGGAGCGCGTGATGCATATGCCAGGCAACATGGCTCTGCGTGCCACTTCGGATATGTATGCCATAGGTTCGCCATCACAGTTCTAGGATGTGATCTAAAGAGAAGATAAAATATTTTTGAATGAAAGTGTTCATAGGGAAAAAATGCTTTGA